TTCTGCTCATTCAACACAAAAGCAGCCGTGGCCCACAGGTAACCAGGTGAGCTTGGCTGCCAATGAAACTTCATAAAATCAGTGGTGGGCTGGATTTGGTCCACGGTCTGTAGTTTACTGACCCCTGCTCTGAGCAAATCAACTTTGCCTCTGGAAGTTTTTGGTCACACCTGGGACTCCTTTTACATCTCCTTTCATCTGCACTTTGCAAGGGATCCTCTGGGTTCCTCCACTCACACGGAAAGCTTTGTCTATTGCTCTGCCATACTACCTTGTGAGTCTCTTGGGATGGGGACCAAGCCTTATTTAACTCTGAACTCCTGGAACACAGAGATCTTAATAGAATGCAAACAACACCCAGTCTGATACCTAAAGAACTCACAGGCTAGTGGGGAAAATTTTCTCAAAACAGAGACATACTCAGTGGCAGGAAGAAAAAAAGTAGGGAGGAATTAGGAGAATGTGTCTCCCACAAACCCAACAGCAACCTTTGGAAAACTTAGGAAAGGAGACAAAAAAAAATAAAGAGCCTAAATAACCCTGATATTCCAAAGCACTGAAAAAACAAACAAACAAATCCAATGCCCTGGAAAGTAGTTTAGCAACTTTATTTTTAAAAGTTAAACATAAACATGCCATATGATCCAGCCACTTCACTCCTCGGAATCTACCTAAGAGAACTGACAACATCTATCCACACAGAGACATGTACACAAAGGCCCAGGGCAGCGCTCTTCAGAGGAGGGTCAAGTTGGAGGCCACCTGAATGTCCATGGACTGACCAATGGTTAAACGAAATGTGGTGTAGATCCACATGAACAAACACCACTCAGCAATAACAAGAGCTGGGGCCGGGGATACAGCTTAATGGCACAGCACCTGCCTGGCAAGCACAATGTCCTGAGTTCAATTCCTGGTACCAGTAAGTAAATAAATAAATAACAAGAGCTACCGATAAATATTACAACATGGATGAGCATTGAAAACTTACATTTGAAATCTGCCAGATTCAAAAGACTACACATTATATAAGTCCATTATATAAGTCCATGTATAGTATCCAGAAATGGCAGGTTCCATCCATGACAGAAAACAGACTGGTGGCTGCCTAGGGCAGGGACTGCACCAGGGATGAACTGTAAATGGACACAGGGAATGTTGCAAATGATGAAAATGTTCAACAGCAGCATTGTGGTAATGTGTACAACCGCCTACATTTACTAACATTTTCGCTGATTGTGCACTTGCAGTTTTATGCTATGCAAATTGTATTACCAATGATGAAACAAAACCTGCCACAAACCACTCTTCTCTCCAGGGCTAAGCGATATTACACAAGGGGAGGTGAAGGGTTCTTCCCCTAGCAAAACAGGTGTGGTCACCATAAAACATCTAATGTGACTTGGATTCACTTTTCAGCCTCATCCAGTCTTATATCCAATAGCAGCAGCCAGTTTTTACTGGGCACCAGAACTGTAAGAGGTCTGCACTAGTATTATCCCATTTTACAGATTAATAAAAACAGGATCAGAAAAAGAAAGCAACTCATTCAAGGGCACACAGTCACTAATGGCAGAGATGACAATAGATCCCATCCTGTCCAATTCTAGAACCCATGTTCTTTGCCAAGTTTATTTGCCACCTACCCCTCCTACCTGCCATCTGCCCCACCAACTCTTTGGTCTCAAGGAGAAAAGCATGGTACCACTGGGCATGCAGAACAAGGGTGCTAAGCTTCCATATCTCACTACAGCAACCACGGACTCACACGCTGGTCTCCAGCACCGATGTGCCCAGATGCCTTCCAAACACAGGGAGGCCTTGATTCAGATAAGCAGAACATTTCGGCCAAGCCACATGGAGTGGGTGACAGCACGAGCTTCTCCCTGGAGCCTGTACTTACAAAAGCCCATCTGGAATATTCCAGGGTTCAACAAAAATGAGCCAACCACCTATGACAGAGACGACCTCAGGCTCAGCAGCAGGCCTGCGCAGATGGGCTCCTTGCATGGGCTCTTCATCCAGACCTGCAAGTTTCCAGGAAGCATTCCATGCAGGGGCCCTGTGGTGTCACTCTGGGCACATCTGGCTGGCAGGGAGCCGACAGCCACTTCCTGACCTCTGGTACACCACAGACAGCGTATTGTCTCCTCTCCCCAGTGCAGCATTAACTGTTCTGCTTCTCTGGGTTGAGGGATGAGGAGGCCGCACAGTTGCTTACAGAAAGTTTTCGTAAACCTGTTTGGAGAGCCTGAGGAGGCCTGAGAATGCCCGCATCCCAGCAGAGAGGGACTCCACACCTGCGGGCGCAGCCGTGTGACAAGCCCAGCCCGGGGGACAGCAAGGCAGAGAATCTCCTCTCCCCTCATTCCCTGCCTCCTTGCAGCCAGCCAGAGCTGCTCCCCACACACAGACCCATACCTGCCTCTCGGCCTTTGCAAGCACTGGTCTCTCTCTACTTGAAACACGGGACACCAGCCTTGTTCCTTCCATCACCTTCTTAAGACAAACATCACCTCCTTGGTGAGGCCTCTCCTGCCACCCCATTTTAAATTGCCAGCCTGGACTCCGGCACAGCCCTTCCTGCTTCTACTATACTTTGCTCCGTGGCATCCGTGACCCTCTGACACACTGAGCTTTCTTCCGTCCGTCGCACCTCCAGAGCGGAAGCTCCGTAAGGGAATGGCGATCTCTCACACTGGTTCTGCATCTGTGGTGCCTGTAACGGAACCTGGCATGGTGGCAGTAGGCTTGCACAAAGAAATGAACTTCTCCATCGAGCCTGGTCTACAAGCAGCATCTTCACAGCTACTGGCAGTGCCAAAGACACCAGTAGGAATCAGTCAGAGCCCAGCGGGAATTTCGCACGCCTGATCAGGGGAGCCAGGAGCCAGGCTGGGAGGAACAGATAAAGAACCAGTCAAGCGCTGCACAGAGGAAGCAGCACCATGACCCACTTCGTGCCTCCCCTACCTCTCAGAAAACCGCAGTGCTGGTATCGTGGGTGCTGTTCTATTCTGTCTTGCCCTCTCAGGTCATCTTTTGGGGTAGTCCCTCTGGAGTCTGGGGCATGTGACGCTGTTGGTTGTAACGTAAGGAAGGGATTTTAGAAGGTAAGAACCGGGTGGATTCCGGAACATCTCATTCTCAGGCACCCTGAGAACAATGCTCAAGACCTGGGTAAAGGAAGAAGCCCACACAGGGCACAGCCGGGCACAGGACAGGTGACAGACTTGGTCATCTACGGCCTGAGCCTGACTTGTCCAGGCTTTGCTCCCTCAACTCAGAGTTGTGCTTCAGCCAGGTTTCCCAGCTGCACATCCACTTCCGGGGGCTGGGCTTCCTGAGCTCAGCCACGTGACAGGCTTCATCCCAGAGGCCAGTGGTCACTTCAGGATGACACCGGACACCTGATCTTGGGGTTGGGACACAGTTTGAGCCACAGTCCGATTTTTCCCATTCGAAGCTATTACTTTTCCAAGCTGAAGGCAGAAGAGGGTGAACAAAAACAGAGGTAAAAGTGCAGTGGGCCAAAGCAATGTGGTTTTGAATTCAGCTCTGTGGCTCGGTACTTGATAACTTGGGCCATCTCTTCCCGTCTGAGCCTCAGTTTCCTCATCTGCCAAATGGGTTTCCACAGAACCTGCCTCACTGTGTGGATGGAGCTAGATAACCCCTGTGCGGAGCCTAGCACCTGACATACATAGTGAGAACTTGAGATGAGGTAGATTTTGCTGTTGCTGTTATCAAAGAAAGGGAGGAAAGAGGCAACGCCTAGCCACTTGCTCAGGCTAGCTGTAGGCCTCCAAGGTTATTCGAGTCCTAAGGCAGTGGAAGTTGCCAGTAATTAAGACATGAGAAATACAGCCTTTCTCCTTTGGGTTTCAGAATGGTGTAGGCACAACAAAAACCTGCCTAGATGGAAAGTTCTCAGTAGCCATGGGATTTACTCCAAAGAGGGCCTGTCGGGGCTAACAGTGCAACTCTGGAAAAGGAGGGAACAGGACCCCAAAGCCACTAAATCCCTGAGTTTATAATTAGCAGACAAGCACTCGCTCTGCCTGTTCTGGAGCCATGTGGCTCACTAGGGAAGGGCACTGTAGTCACACGAAAATAACCCCCCAGTGGGCTTTTGATGTGTTGAGCCTCTTTGTTTTTCTGAATTTTAATGAAGGGCTTTCCAGGCAGGAGGAGAGGAGCTCCCTATGGCCAGAGAATGGGCCTTTGCTAGCTGCGGCCAGTCTGCATGGGCCTGAGCCAATGCAGCAGCCAGGAGAGGCATCAAGGAAAGGTCCCATCCTCAGATGAGATGCCTTGGGGAGGAAAATAGAAAATCAAAAGCGGGAGGTGTCAGCTTCAGCAAAGGCTGGGCTGTGCTGCCCCCTGAGCACACAGTGAGCAGGGTGCTGTAGGGGAGCAGGGCAGGGCGGCAGGTCAGGGGCTCCTGAAAGCAGGCATCCCTCTGCCCCGTGGGGTTCTTAGGGATGCTGGGCTGAGCCTTTCCGAGAGACTTGGAAATGAGGCTCTAGGTACCCGTGGCTCAGGGAAAGGCCGGCTTTTGGAGCTAGAGGAGGAGGGTGCGGGCAGAGAAGAGAAAGGAAGGTGCTGTCCAAACAGCCCCCTCGGAAGCAAATAACAAACGTGTCACCTCATCACCCGCACTGCTTGCTCCTCCCTGCTGCCTGCTCCTGGAAGTATGTGATGGAAGCGGCTGTGCAGCGTCACTGACGCACCGATGGCGCTGAAGGGCCAGGGCCCGTCAGGCAGCACGGGGCCAGGCCCTCCCTCCACCCAAGACAGCTCTCTGCACTTCCCCCAGCCCCACCTCCAGGCCCTGCGGTCCCTGGGAGCAAGCCCGGCCCTGTGGGAAGCAACAAGTGCGAGTAGGGGTGCCTACTCCCCACATCAAACTCTCCCCCAGGCTCTTCCCCCACAGAGCTCTCGCCAGGCTGTTTTAAAGTACCGTCCTTGGCAGTGCTGGAAAGAAACGGAAGACATGCCACAGAATAAAGTCATTTATTGTATTCGAACGACTCAACGTGGTCTACAGAAAATAAACGTTTTTATTAGAAAATATTCCATATAAAAACCCTAAGGTGCTTGCAAGCCTCGTTGGCTTTAGGCTCACTGCACCTGTTCAAGTCTGAGGCGGAGGTCTGCCTCAGGTCTGCCTGAGTGGCCCAGTGGGGTCCTCCTTCTCTGTTTGCAGCAGGTCCCACTCACTGAGGAGCTCCGAGGACACCTCTGTGTACAGATGGTCCCAATCCCAGCCGATGTCCTCCTGCCAAGAGGGGTATCACTGGTTAAGAGAATAAAGGACTCTTTAACAACTACCTTCCCAAGCCAGCCAGGCCCCAGGGGAGCATGGCCAAGCCTGCGGAGCCTGCTGGCTCCCAGAAGGACGTGCTGAGCTCAGACAGCTGCTGCTACTGTACCTCTCGCACTTCGTGCTCTGGCGCCAGAACTCTGGTGAGGAGTTTCAGGTCGATCTCGCCATCCTGTGAATGCACAAAAGGCCGGTTGGGTACTTTGAGGGCTGATGCTAACTGTCTCTTTTGCAAGGAAGAGGAGTTTGTGTATGTGCTGGAACTCCCCAAACTGAGACCCACAGGCAGGCCTTCATCAAAGAGTAGAACCCAGAGCAGACCATGCGGTCACTGAGAAAGGAGGGAAGGCTATGACGCCCTCCATGCCGGGCACATTTTGGGGCAAAGGGCAGCAATGAAGGGCAGAGTACAGCCACGGGGCAGAGGACAGTGGGGAGTCAGCAGGTGCCACAGGTGCAGACCTTGAGCATATGGGAGCCTCACACTGGGAAATGCTGGAATGTGGGGGTGCGGGACGCTGTGAGATACCCAGGATAATGGCTACAGCAAGGGCGGGGCTGCTGGGCAGGGCCAGAACCGTGGAGAAGGGCTGCGTGGCTCTGGAGGAACTGAGAAGTCTCTCCGCGGATGCTGCTTGGAGCCCGCCCCTCTGTGCAGAAGCCACTCCACTCACCAAGGTCTGAAAGGCTGAGTACTTCATGAGGTCATTGTCCAGGTCACGATAGGTCATCACCCGGTTTACCTGGACACTGAAGAAAGACAGTGTGAGGAGAAACCACAGGCAGACAGGGCCCAGAAGTGCTGTGGGCCCCTGTTCCCCGACCCTTGTATACAGCTGGGGAGGACCAGAGAGGGAACAAAAATCTAAACAAAATGGGTCACCTGGGGCGGAACCATTACCAGAAAGATCTGGGTTCACGTGGCGGGGGTGGCATGCAGCAAGGGACCACTGCGGATGGTATTTGGAGTGGACTGATTCCCACATCTCTACTTCTTTTGCCAACTTCATCCATAACTTAACCTACCTGGGAGGGGATGCCACCTGCAAAACAAATTCTTCTTCCTGTACTTCTTCCAGATCGGGAATGACGGGAATATCTGTAAAGAAAAGTGATACGGTGTGTGCAGCATGAACAGGATCCTGCTTCCTCTCCCGTGTTACTTATTCACCTTCCACACATCAGCTGGGGGCTGTGGGCTGGGGTTTGAACGGATGCTCAGTCTCTGGCCTCCTGGGGCTTCCAGTGTAGGGCGCTATTTATGTTCAAAGTGTTGGTGGTAGTGGGGAACAATCAAAGGTGGAGCTCCAGCAATTTCTGAACCACAGGCCTTAACTAGAACACACTGAATCAGGAGAAGCTCCTGGTAGAGCTAAGATTTCTTCACTGACTCTGATGCATACACCAGATTAGGACCCAGGGAGTGGGTTTCCAAGGAGAGAGGTAAGGAGATGAGATTCCCATACAGCACCGCAGCGGAGTAAAGGTGGAGAGGAACTGATGAATGAGCCTGGTGTGGTCAGAGACAGAACTGCAAATGTGCAGTGTCACAAAGCGGATGCCATTATGAGCACCACCTGCTCATGACCAGGAGCTATGCATTAACTCTAGACAGCAATCATCACAGTCCTAGGAACAGCGCTTAGCCGGCAGCTGAAAGGCATTTCACACCTGATGATACAACCTGGCTCCCCAATATCGTTTCAGGGATCAAACGCTGCCAATTCTAATGGGTACACTTCTCTTGCTGTCACGTGGAGGTTTTCCTTCTCTGAACTCTCCAGACACAATTACACTCATGCAGAGCCACGTAGCCATTTCTTCCACCAGTCTGACAAAGCCAATCAAACAAGGAAAATGAGAGACACACAGCGCATCACTTCATTGTTGCATCTTAAGTTACCAAAAATTGTCCACCTTCTCATAGGGACAAACTAACCCCACAAAAGAGTATTTCCTTCTCCATACAAGTATCACTGACTGGTTGAGGGATTTTGTTTTGACCAACGGGAGCAAAGAAAAAAAAAGAAGTAGGATAGGAAAAAGGTCCATACAAGGTTAGACAATCCTGGGATTCTCAAACGAACTACAAACACAGAAAGAAGGAAAAATCCCAGAGAAGAGACTAGGGAGGAAATTCTTTGTTTCTGCTCCATGGACTGAATTCCATTTTACTTCTCAAAGACAGACAGAATCACTCTAAGAACAGATGGGAAGACCCTTGCCACTTTCAAGCTATTCATTATTTAGAGTTCATGATTGCTCTAGTCAAGCTAAGCCAGAGTATATAAACATCAGTTCCAAGCCTGGAGTCTTTATTATTACTTCCGACTCACAGGTGTTGTACCTGGAGAGGGAGGGAGGGAGGGAGACAATAAAACAGAGAAAGAGACAGAGAAAGAAAGTAGTGAAAAGGGATAAAAATAAAAAGGCATTGATTGCTGTTAGGAAAATAAAGAGATGCACAAACTACCCCTAAAATAACGAACTACTTTCACCAAGTCCTGTACCCAGAAAGAAACTGTTCAAAGCCCAGATTACATCTCCCTGTACTGCTACAGAACTGGAGATGGAATTTGCCAAGATTCTATTTCTTATACTAACAGAAATTTAGCTTTCTTTATCACCCTCTTCCTGAGTGATTAACAGCCCGTTGTGAGGGCTGCTGGCAAGGCTCTCCAAGCCCAGAGTGACGGGGGCGCCCAGGCTGTGGAAGGAAGGGCACTGGCCCTGGAGAGGGACAGGGAGAAGCTGGCTCTGCCATGTGCCATCAGCAATGTGACAGTTTCAAAGTGAGCCAGTTAGCTGCTCATTGTTGGCTCTCCCCGGGCATGGAGTCCAGCCTGAAATGAATATTCAGAAGTTGGTAAGAAAATGCCCATGCTGAGCTTAGGGCTCAGGATGGAGTTTTCCCAAACTCCCCTTTCCCTCTACAACTTTAGCATTTGGGTCCTGTCAACTCTGCCCCGCTCCTCCAGGCTCGGGGAAGTCGCACTCCTGCCCAACGTCTACTCTTACTCCCATGGGTGTCCCTCGCGGTCCCTACCCCCCTCCAAATGCGCACAGAAGAGTGTGGGGCTGGCCCATCTGTTGACAGATCAGAGGTCAACACGGGCCTTGGCAAAGGGGCTGCTCAGAGTGGCACTGGTGGGGCTGGCCACACAGTGGGATTTCTCTCTAATTGGAAGCCTAGTGCCCAGTAGAACCTGGTGAACCGCCGGAGTGGGACAGAGCCAGCGATGACAGCCAGGCCACAGCAAGCTGGAACTTTCCGGGGCAGTGACAGCTTGAGCCATCACAGCAGAGGCAGGCCATCCAATTCCCGGCCCCCAGTGGAACAGGTGGCCGTGGAGTGGGTTTTGGGCAAACTTCAAAGAACTTCACAATTTTGCAGTTTCTGATTTACAATCACAGACGAGTGCTTGCTCATGTGTACACAGTATGTTCGGGGAATTTTTTCCCTTTCTCTCCTCCCCTTTCCCTATCCTGCCCCTCCCCCCATATGTACTACAAATAAACCTAGGAAGAAAAACAATGGAAATGAAATGTGCTTCTTCACAAAATGATCAAACTCACAATCCAGCCCTGCTTTCAGGAAAACATCAACTCAAGCTGTAAATGTGGACTGGTTACCCGGTCTCACTCAGATGGCAAAGCTCAACATGCAAAGCCACAGTTTTAACAGAGACAATAAGACAAAAAGAGGGTTCAGTTCTAGACCCTTTAAAAAGCTACCATGCTTTTTATTTGGGGGAGACGGGGAATCGGGGCTGGAACCCAGGGCCTCATGCAAGTCACATTAGTGCTTTACCTCTGAGCTACATCCCCAACCTGTCTACTACAATTTAAAAAATCTAATAATCATGTGACTTTATCCTCATTTTCTTCTGTGCCACTGTTACTTGAAGGGCATCAGCAGGAGCAGTGAGGTAAATAAAGGTGTGCAGGATTCCTGTTCAAGGTCTGGCAGTACAGAATGGCCCGTTTGCAGGTCCTTTCTCTGCCGCATCCTAGTTGTGAGACTTTATCACCTCTGTATCTCAGTCTCTTCATCTGTAAAATGAAGACCATCTTTACACCAACTCAGATGGTTGTTGTAAGCTGCAAATGGAATAACCGTTATAAAATACTGAGCATAATGCTCAGTATTGAATAGCTATTTCTTTTCTTTCTTTTGAGACAAGGTCTCGCTGTGTAGTTCAGACTGGTCTTAAGTTCACTACGTAGCTCAGGCTGGCCTTGAACTCAGTGATCTTTCTGTCTCAGCCTCCCAAGTGCTGGGACTACAGGCATGCACCACCATGTCCACCTTGAATAAATATTCAATAATCTTTTCATCCACTTAAAATACAGTATCAAGCATGTTGAGAAACAGCACAGTTCTACTTTTTCTCATTTAGTCCCGCCCAGTGACGATCACCTTTCGGAAAAGAACACAGAGGTGAAGCAAGACCATGCAGCTTGTGTGAGGTGAAGCTGTTAAAAACGGGCAGAGCCATGCTTCCTGCTCTGCCAGGGCTGCCGTGCCCACTCCCACATTTTCCTCACCTGTGAAACACCTCCAGGGATGCCGGCTCCTGGAGTACAGTGGGGCGACACCACCCACAGCTGGGTACTTTTTATTTTTGCCTAAGACTTACTGTCTTCTGTTCTTGGGTTTTTCTCTTGACTCCTGTAACAATAAATGACCCAGTCCTCCTCTCCTGTATGCCCTGATTCCCTACTTCCCTTAAGGCTAAACAGAACAGGATGGTGAAAGCGTGCCCATATCAGGCCACCTGGGGACTCCACCAGCCACCCATGAAGCTCATCCCCAGGAAGATGAGGTGGCTGGGCACCTTGACAGCCCCACAGAAGGCCAAGGGAGACAGAGTGTGGCGAGGGGCTGCAGGCGCTGGGCTCAAGTCTCTCATCTGCTAGCTCAGCGCTGTGGCGGGCAATGCTGTCCTCACACTGTGTCTGCTTCAGGGCCCCAGCTCAGACTCCTTGCATGAAGAGCCCTTCCTGCCTCGCATGCTTTCTCTCTGCCCCTCTGTGAGACAGCGCACAAGCCATTCAGGCTGTTTCTCTAACCTACGTGGTACCTGGTTAGCCACACTGTGGGAAACTCCATTTGGCTACTTGGCCACTGATTGATTGATTGATTGATTGATTGATTCATTCGTTCGTTCCTTTGAGGGATACTCACTGAGCACCTACTGAGTGAAAGGTGGTACCAGTAACAACAATAAACGGAAACAGACATGGTCCTGGTCTTCATGGAGCACCAGTCAGATGGAGGATATAAACACAGATGTTCTGCTTACTAGTAAAAATACATACTAGGACAGAACCTAGCAAGTTCCATGACAGAAAATAACAGGGAGACCTATTTTATTTTTTCTGAAGTAAAAGTAATTTTATAGGTTTAGTCAATTCAAATGCTATAGAAAAGATTAATATGAAAAATTTCCCTTCTGTTTACGAGACCCAGTCATTTCCCTAAAGGTAATCACTTAATTTTGTACATATTTGACAAAATACATGCATATCACAGCACATAGATTTAAAGAATGTCTGTAAAGAATCCTGCACATCTACTTTATTTACCTCATTGCTCCTGGTGATGCCCTTCAAATAACAGTGGCACCGAAGAAAATGAGGATAAAGTCACATGATTATTAGATTTTTTAAATAGTAGTAGACAGGTTGGGGATGTAGCTCAGTGGTAAAGCACTAGTGTGACTTGCATGAGGCCCTGGGTTCCAGCACCAGTACCCTGTCTCCCCCAAATAAAAATGTTGTACAACTTCTGACCTATTGATACACACATGTATCTTATTCTTTTAAATGACGAACTTGGATTCTAGTGAAGGAATGCTCACATGCATTTAATCCTACCCTGTAAAGATCCATTTTAGAATCTGGGGCATGGGATGAGGAGTTAAGGAAGGTCTCTCTGAACAAGGGACAGAGCAGCAGAGAGCTGAAGGAGGAGCGGGAGGAAGCCAGGCAGGGGACAGCATGAGCAAAGGTACGAGGAAGGGAGACTTGACATGCTACCCTGGAGAGATGGAAGGTGGCTGGTGTGGCTGGAGCACAAGGCCCAGGAGAGAGGGA